TTTCATTATTCATTCTTTTTTCTTGAAGTATTTTTATGATTCGTTGAAGAGCTTTTATAAATTGAAATAATTTCTGATTGATTTGTCGTGACACATTTTCTCTTCTTTTTGATCAAGAACAAATATTTTTTTTTACTAATGTTCACCCAATACAAGGCCCAAGTGCTACTCAAGGTAGATGATTACTATGTGGATTTGCATAAGATTTGTGTAAGAAAGGACAAGCGGTAGGAGTACAGATCTGAAGCAGACTTTAGAAGGAACCGGAAACCTAATCCTAAACAAGGGATAAACTTCTACTCTTAAATTATTCTTACTATTAGATATAGTTATCAATTGCTAAAAATATCCTCAACAATTGTAGATTAGTAGTAATTCATGACGTGCATACACAAGTTGCGTGACTGCTAAGACTTTACTTAAGATAGCCTTTATATTAATTGTATATAAACACGTATCCCGTTTTACGTAGACAAGACACATATTTTTTTTATTCTTTGTCTTTAATTCAATTTCTATTAATAAAGGACTGATGTACATATGTACATTTTAAGCAATTAATGGCTTTTCTAATTCAACATTATTTCTTATTACTATAAACGTTATATTTAGTGGGTACATGTGTTTGAGTAAACATCCCAGGTTTTTTTAACAATGAAATTAATATCTACCGGCCGAGAGATCGAAAATGGATGGGTGACCAACGCTGAAATACCAAGTATTGTAAGTTTGTATGTGCGGGTGATTTAATGGATAACGACTCTGACTGGAAATCAAAGAACGGATTTCGATTCCTGTCGGGTTTGCTATATTCACTTAAGCGCAAATACTCTTGGGAAAGGCATGAATCCACTTCTTCCCCACTCCAGAGTTATAGGTATTATTAATAGAACTTGTATCAATAATTTATTATCATCTCACCACCAAAAAAATCTTACAATTTAAAAATATTTTCTGGTTTTAAGTAACTTGCAAATCGTAAACCAATAAAGAAAAAACAATCAAGCTAGATTATCTGTCCAGAGAGACTCGTCTTCCAAGTTATCCATTATTCAGTTTGTTTTTTTTTGTTTTTTTTTCGATGGCGGCAATAGTGTGAAAGTGAGCGCAATAGATGAGGTCAGAATTTGAACTCGGCACACCGATTCTACTTTCCATGTCGATAACCTTTATGCTACACGCAAACTTAAAAATCCTATCCTATTTAAGAGCTTTTATTATTCAATGAGTGTCGATGAGTGAAATTGAGCTCAAAACATCTCCAGGTAAGGGAAAAAAACGATTCATCATCAAGTTCCCAAGAACAGTCTCCTAATGAAGATTTCCCACCCTTCTCTACATGAAAAGAAAGAAAATAAAAATAACAACAACAAAGCGTTCCCTCCTCTCTAATATCTCTTCAAGTGGAAGGAAGCCACGGCTACGCAATGGAAGTCACTTTTATGAGCAGCTTGGCAACGCGTCAAGTGCTGCGGCCAAAAGCGACATCGAATCATAAAGAAAAGTGGTAATGAGAAATTTAAATGGAATGAATTATGACTTACCTCTTTTGTATTCTTCAAATGATTTTTTTCTCTTTGAACATAAAAAATGTATTTAGACCGGTTTCTTTAAACAGGATAAAATCATTTTATTTTTATTTTGACACTGTTTTGCGAACATGAACTTTGAAATGGTTGGACAAGCAATAGGTTTTCGTTGGTTCTAAAGCACGGCTTACAATTGGTTTAGAACAAAAGTTCGTATAGTTTTTCAATAGATAACGTGATTTTGTTTCACACGTGACTGAGATTTATGTCATATATACTTATTCAGAAAAGTAATATTCCAGCGTGATTTGTGTATGGATTATAAATTGTAAATGTTTTTACGTTAACAGAAAGAAAGTGGAAGAAAATAAGCATTTTCATCATTTGACGCTCTTTTATTTCCAGAAAGGAAAAGAAATACTGTACAAGCATCAAAAAATATCTGCCGCTTATGGAGATGGTGCCATAAGTGAGGGTACACTTCGTAAATGGTTTGCTAGATTCAAAAGTGAAAATTTTGATTTGGAAAACCGAGAAAAGCCCGGTAGGCCTGCAGTCGTTGATGATGATCAAATCGATGATTAAAATAATCTAGTTCACACGACACGGGACATCGCAGAGATACTCCACATATCTCATATGAGCGTTTTAAAGCATTTGAAAACGCATGGATAGCACTACGAAGTTTGCGAGCTTCACGATTTAACGGAAAAAAAATTAAATGACTGCATTTCCATCTACGATTCTCTTAAACGCAGCAAAAACGATATTTTTAAAGAAAATTTCACAATGTAAATTAGTTATTTACAACAATGTGGAGCGAAAATGATCCTGGGGAAAAGGAACTGAGCCACCATTAACCATTCTAAAACTCGGATCGAATCCGAAGAAGGTGATGTCATATAAGATTGGAAGATCATTACAAGCTCCTTTGTGGCAGAGAGCAATGCTCACCCTTGAAATATTAACAATTATAGTAATATAGAATTTTGTTTATAGATGAGAAAAATAATCCGTGGTGAAGTTTGTGCCCAGAAAATCTGTGCTTCGTCAGAATTATTAATATAAAATGTCAAAACAATAGTGCTTATATAAACTATGGAAAACCAATTGAGTAGAAGAGACTGTTCATTTAATCATGAAGGAGGAGAGATCGTTAATCAGGTTGTATTCTAAGTTTACCAACACCCCGGGGTTTGGTCGCTATCACAACGTTTATTAAAGCGCGTGTTTGTGCGAAAACAGTCAGTCGAAGTCGAGTTGGGATTGGAGCTGGGTGAAGTGAGTTGACAAGCAGTCGACCAGAGAGAGAGAGAGAGATAGGCAGTGAGAGTAAAAGCGCCCGCTTGCTGCTGTAATAAGGGAGGAAGTGAACTCAGGTTATCTGCAATATTGGCGCAATACTGCCAGTGGACCCTCTTGTATCCTGATAGTGAAATAATTACAGCAACTACTAAGAACCAAAAAAAAATACTTCTCTCCTTTCATAATTATTTGCAATATTTGTTTTTGTTTTTGTTGGTTTTTTTCTTTTTTTCTGGGCTTTATTTCATATACACTAATTTCTTGTAAAAGATGCATTATTCTTTTTGTAACAATTTCTTCCTTATATACATATACATAAATTTTTCTTTAAACTCGAATTGACTTGTTCATATCTGATTTTTTCTGCTTGGCCCAATTCTCGCCCCAACGAACTTGCAGGTAGACCAGCTGAATCTTCCGGGATCGGCGATAAATAAATAAATAAATAAACAAATAACGACTTCCGGTAAAATAACCGCCAAAATAGACTACCCACAATGCATCACTGACCCGTATAAAATAGCTGAGAAAAATAACAGCACTCGTGGCTTGACAATTGCATCTAGCATGAAACAAACTGTCGCCTCTAAGTGTTGACTTCAATGTTCACACACACACACATATATATATATATATATATATATATATATTATAAAAAATTATAGGTTTTGCTCATACTCCTAATAATTTTAAGATTAGATGTAAACTATGTTTAGAAGAGAAAATTAGACTAATAAAATTCGATAAACAAAGCATACTACTAAACCAAAGGAATCACAGGAATAGGTTTAAACTTATCTAATATCCAATATATTATTGATCTTACTTAATCTTTTCTCATCTAATGCATCTTTATTGTACATTTTACTATAGTTATTTCTACTTTTTATATTCTCCATTTCAATCTTATCTGATAACCCTCCACTACCTTACTAACTCCCTTTTTTGATTTTATCCTTTAAACTTTAAATTTTCATTGTTTATTTTTAAATTATTAATTTTTGAAAAGGTTTTTAAAAGTTGACTTGGGGGTATTAAAATTTAAAATTTCCTCAACCCTAGCTGCTATCAATTACTCCACCACGCCTCTATTGCAAGCGCCTTCACTTCCACTATACTGATGGTTGGGTTCGGGCACCTAGAGGTGGTGTAATGGTTAGCAAGCTTGTCTTGCTAGAACAATTACGACTGAATAGTGAGTTCGATCCTCACTGGGTGTCCCATACTTTCGGTCTTGTGCCACATCTAAGCTACGCTTGGAAAATCACTACTGATGGCTGGGTTAACTTAATATCTGTGTTTTCAACGGCGGGCTCCTTCTTCTTTTTTTTTCCTTTTCCTTTCTTCTTTTTAAATGTCTATCTGAGTTGAAAAATGCCAACGTAGTAACGTTTGGTTGAAATAGCTATTCTTATGAGGTAATTTTACATTTCTCTATTATGTAACTTATATGCTCTGTTGAGCCCTTTTCGGAATCAATTTCAATATTTTATATTATTAGGATTCACTTGGATTATATACCAACGGATTATTACGTCTCTCTCTATATATATATATGTGTGTGTGTGTGTGTGTGTGTGTGTGTATATATATATATCAAAACAGGTTATTTTTAAATTCAACAGACAATGTCGGTTAATTTTTTTTTTTTTTTTGTATGTCAGTTTTCTCATTTTCAAATAAGTTATTGCACATCCAGATCAAAAATTGTGGATAAATTGTCCAAAATTTATGTTTTTGTTCGGTTTTTATTCGAGTACTTTCGACAGTGTCGGTCATTATCAAGAACTGGATGTTCTCAGTATTGTAGAGAAAATTTTAGTTAGCTACATCCTGGTATTTCTAAATGTTACTATTCAGATTTACGTATATGTGAATTCTTGTTGCTTTAATACGCAATATACATATATTTTTGTTGTTTTGTTTTTTAGTGTGTGTGTGTGTGTGTGATGGAAAAGTGAAGGAAAAAAAAGAATGAGAGGAAAGGGGAATATAAAAGAAAAACAAAATGTAGAAGTTTCATAGCTTTCATAGCTCCTCCTCTGTCCTTGTCCCTGTCCCAGGCTGTCAAATAATCCGGAACAAATATCAGTGGTGGGGGACTGAAAGCAATTGAGCAAACCAAAGCGACTAACAATCAACACTGGAGATGCTTCAGGGGTTTCGATGGAGGATAATTACGGTGAAGAAAGAAGAAACTCCAAGCAACAGCGAAGAGTCAGAGAGAAGAAAAACCTTGAAAATAAGCGTTGTCCGTTTTTGTTTTTTTGTTTGTTTTTTTTTTGTTTTTTTTTTTTGGGGGGGGTTGTTTTTCTCTTACTGCTGATCTCTCATCTCTCTTTTGAAGACACGGTATTTTAATCATCTCTCTTCTCTCGTTCACAACCCCTACCATCCCTCCGATACTGCTACACGCTCTCCAAAAAAGTATGCTCCTACCCCGCCATGATACTCTATTATCTTTTTAGCACTTTTGCCACCCTCAAAAACGTTGCATTTCGAGGTCTCAACACTTCCAGTGATATTTCACTCAACTTGTCTTTTACCTCGTGTCCTATTTGTAAACACTCTGCGCCCGACGGCCATTAGATTCGGTTTGTCTTTTTATGCCAAAAACTTCACTCAAGCGTGTAACAATCTTTGGAAGTCGCAAATTTAGTGACGTCTTCTCTTCACTCCAAAGCTGAACCTCGTGATATTTTATTGGCTGACACGTCTCAATATGATTTCTCTTCATTTTCGTTACAAGCTCAGACATCATCTGAAGTGAACGATAAAATCATTTATTAGCGTTTATTTGTTAAGATACCTTTATTCCAAATCTTATTCCATAAAAGTTCGGCTGACAAGTTGTCAATAGAGCTGTCAACACCTAATCAAAACACCTACCTCTGTGTTAAAAATACATTTTGTGAAGTTTTAAACTAAAAGTTACATTTGTTTCAAATTAGATCAATTAAACTTTAAATCAGCTAATATTCCTCAAATAAAGATTCAGAAAAGTATAATTTATTTTTGAAAGATTTTTTTTAAATAAAGAGAAGTACATTGTACTGACAGATGGCTAAAAATGGCTAAAATCAACGATTTTGAACGATTTAAAAACTCCTTTTAGTCAATTTAAATTAGTTTTGAAATAAAGCAAACTAGTTATTAAAAATATTAAATTTAATCGATTAGCTTCAAATTAAAAGCTTCAAGAAGGATTTTTCATTTTTTTTAAATTCATTTTAAACTTTAGGTATTGCGTTTCTTTGGCAGTATCTATATATAATGGCACGACAACAAAATCTATTTAGCTGTTGCATAAGTACTACGAGAAGATAAGTAGGAGTAGGGAAATAAGGAAGGCCTAAATCTGTTCTTACTCTTTTACTGACGCGAATTTCTCAATCCTCTTCAAAGTCAACTTATTTTTTCAGTCTCCCCATCTCTCTCTCTCTCTCTCTCTCTCTCTCTCTCTCTCTCTCTCTCTCCACTCAGTAGTGCTAAGCCACACAATCTAACTTGGGCGATGAATACTCTCAAGTAGATCAAAATTAACTGCAGCTTGCTGAAAGATCTCTTTATCGAGACTCCAATTGTTAACATAATTCGATCAACAATTTGAAGGTTTGTGAACTCACTTTCATCTTTATATTTGATATTGACTCGACTTGGTAGTAGATTTCTACAATCTAAAATGTTGGCAGAGGATTTAGTGTTTAATACTTAATTCATGAATATTACATTACAAATTATTTGTTCAGTGTTCAGTGGCGTCTAGGCACGACTTGCCTAAATATACTACTGATTATGTTCACAGATTTTGGGTAATATGTAAATTTGCTTAAAACACTAACTTAATTCGTTCCCTTTCCTTTGAAACAATTTCTGATAACTAATAGATGATTAGATCCTCTTTCTGAATTATGACAGATTAGATCTAAAAAACAAAAAAAAAAACTTAGCACGCATTGTTAATCAAATATCCATTGTGTGAAAGCATGTTGATCGGACCATTTTTTTATCTTTGGAACAAGTCCTGAGTATGACGATAAACTGCATCCGGCATTGGGAGATTCGAGCGTAGTCAGTTGTTGTTGTTCCCAAGTTGTTCCCAGGGGCCCGCGGTGGTAACACCTATTAGGGTCCCAGGTATGGGAAAATACTGAACTCCCAAACAAAAACAACACTGTGAAAGTATAAAAATGTATCATTATAGTAAAAAATACCAGCAATACATTTTTATATAAAAATGACCAACAATACATATTTATAGTAAGTAAAATCACCAACAATATATTTTATCTGCAGTTGATGGCATAAAATTGTGTTCAAAATATTTACATTTCGGCATTAAATAACCCGTAGAGGTTGACATGCCACTAAACAAAATCAACCATCAATTTTCATTGCATAATGTTTGCTCTATGTGATTTATATTCACTGTTTGATTAAATCCACCGACAAAGAAGATTATGTTAAAAATTACATAATTGTTCTGTAAAATAAATGATTATTTCTTTATAACCAACGAACATGGGTGTGTGTGCATGTACTTGTGTGTGTGTGTTTGTGTGTGTGTTTGTGTGTGCGTGTGTTTGAGTGTGTGTGAGTGTGTTTGTGTGCTTGCGCGCGTTCGTGTGTGTGTCAGTGTGTGTCTGTTTGGTTGAAGACCAACGAAAGTTTTTAAGATATTTTCTTTATTTTTATTTTATATTCTTTTTTTTTTTAATCTGTTTGGATCATTTTTCTTGATCTCCAAGAAAGATTTGAATACAGACTATTCAATGTCTTCTGAGTGTCTTCGGTGTTTATAAACTGTTATTAAATATATACAATTTTCACTATTGTTCTATTACAGAGTTATCCGACTTAGTATGTTTGATTTAGTAAACGCATGGAAATAGAAAGCTTTTTTTTTTTGTTTATTGAAATGACAAAAATATTTCAGTAGAAAATAAATATCAAATTCTAATCGATTTTCGCCTTCAACTGTTGTTCAAGAGAATGTAAATCTTTTATTGAAATGTTTTCAGTTAACAAAAATTAACAAGTGGAATGACAATAATATTTTATTCTATTTAACTTGAATAAATATTTGAATGAAAACAGAATATTTTTATTAAGATCTCAGATATTCAAATGTGGTATGGTGTTATAAAGTATAGTAAGCACTTTGCCTTTGATGACGTTCAGTTCATCACACTCCCTGACAACAATGTGTAGCAGATTTTGAGAGACAGCTTCCTGAAATGTATTTTATGATATAAAATCTGGAACTTTATTAGTGACTAATCAAATTCGACTCAAATTAATTATTATATCAATGATTATATATCTTGTATATATAATCATTGATATAATAATTAATTTTTTAGATATAGCAAAAAAACGACTTCATATATCATTATTTAATAATAATGATATATGATGTCGGTTTCTTGCTACATCTATAAAAAAACTGTATATTATGGGAGAGCAATACGCCAAATAATTGTATTGTATGAGAGCAATACGCCAACAAAGCTATCAAAATACATGGATCTTGAAGTGGAAATCTAAAAATAAAACGTTGGTGTACAAATATACTGAGTTCAGTAACCTATTTATGATACCCACTCTACTAAGGATACCAAGTATATACACCACAGCAAGTTGTGTTCACTCTAATGAGAGGTTTTGATAAATGCAGAGCATAACTTTGTTCGAAATACCTTCAGGTTGGATAACGCAGTTTGGTTAGGGTTCTCTGACTGACGGTGCTCCCACGTATCTAGATGTGACTTGCAAGTTGGCTGCATCATCTTTCAAAATTAAAATAACCCTCTTGAAACCGTATCATGATACACCCCTACTACTTCTGCTCATGAACAGATATGCAGAGTGTCTCGACCCTTAGGGGCCATCGTCAATTGGTTAAGGTTAATGAACAGAATATTCTTTTACATGTCACTTTCAATCAATTAATCAACGAGTCTATCAGAACCTTTTCCAATCAAACTCAGGATCCCTACTACTACTACTACTACTACAGGAATTATTAACGTCTTCGTGTGCCACGTTTTTTTTTTTTTTTTTTAGATTTCCACTTCAAGGTCCATGTATTTTGATAGTTATTGTTATTATTGTTATTATTTATACTTGTGGAATTTTTATCTAAGTTGTAATTAGTAGATTTCGAATGGGACAGAGTAACAGCAAGTCTCTTCACTATTCCATTTACTATTATTATAGTTGCGATTGTTATTTCCCTATAAGGAAACGGCTAATATCACTAGTACTGTTATACACACACATCATGTATGTATTTCTGTGCCTATATGTGTGTATGCATTTTACAGTTCATTAATTACTGTTCTATCCATTCGATTTGGCTTTTCATCGACCTCTACTCCTAACAAAACAACAATTAATTCCATAAAGGGTTATTTATGTTGTCGCTTGTAGTTGCGCTAAAAGAGTTACGTAGCGCAACAGAAATATTGCTTGTATACACACGAATAGGCATTAATTCTCATTGATGCATAAATATCACCAGTTCATACATACATACATATATACATTTTGTTCTTGCAGTCAATCTGTTCTCTTGAGTATTGCGAATAAAATATATTTAACTTGGTACGTTTTGACAAGAAATTGCAATCGATCATCCTTCGATCGTGACTTCTTAAAGTGACATTTTGTATTAAACATTTCCATCTGCTATAAAATGCATACATTTTTGCACCGAACTTTGATTGCAAAATATTCCAACGCATTTCTGATGATGCACACACGCGCACACGCGCACACACACACATATACGTATATGTTGGATGTATACAGAGCGGAAAAGCTTATAGACAACGCATTTCACTGAACGTGACAAGTGTAGGTCTATATATATATATATATATAAAATTTGTGTATTTAGGCAGCAATCCTTCTTTCATGCAAATTTCAGTGAATACGACAGACAAGATGCTTTAATTTATTTTTTTATACAATTTCTCATGCGATCTAATATATTTTTTTCTTTTCAGATGATAAATTATATAAAAACTGTCCGAATGTTCTTTTTTTCCGAGCACGTTCGCCGATACATTTAACCATTTTCAAGGGTTAAATATTTTAACTGTTAAATAATTTAATCCTTGAAAATGGCTAAATGTATAGCCGAAAGCGCTCGGATAAAAAGAACATTTCACAGTTTTTATAAATTTATCATCTGAAAAAAAAAAATATTAGATCACATTAGAAATTGTATAAAAATAAATAAATAGAAGCACATTGTTTGCTGTATTCAATGAAATGTGCATATATATATATATATATATATATCACTGATATTGAGTACTTTTAACTCATAAATATAGCATACCTTAAAAACTATATTTTGTCATATATATATATATATATATATATATATATATATATATATATATATGATAAACAAACGATCACTCTGATTTCTGGTCGTCGGATCTGGGAAGGTAATTTAATTTCCGAGACCAACAGAAATTTCAAAATAAGTGATCATAACTTATCTGCAAACGACAAAAAAAAATGAATTTTTACTTCGTTACTTAAATTTCGAAAACTAAAAACGAATGTCTTGTAAAATACCACCGTGAAAAATGCAAATATATACACTGTATAAAGCGCCGATACACAAAGCCAACACTTTAAACTAAAGAAATAAAATAATCAACTACCGAAAAAATAAATAAAATAAAATAAAAATCTACACAAATAAAAAATCAAGTTAAGTAAATATTAAATTAACAAACTAAGAATGCACACATAAACACAATTAAATGCCATAATAATATTCAACAACAGATAATTAACTAATAAATAATGAAAAACATTAACAATATATATCATAAAAGTTAAAGTGCTCAACATCAGGGACTGAGCGCATGTAAATGCAAAAGTGGCCATTGAAGCCATCAGCCAAAGGTGACAGTCCGACACAATTGTATTTACATGCGTTGTCCTTGATGTTGAGCACTTTAACCGATAGTTACAACGTATCTTGTGAATATATTTTATCACACGCGCACACACACACACACACATATATATATATATATATATATATATATATATATATATATATATATAAATATATATTGATAAAAATATAGTTTTGAGATGTGCTATATTTGTGAGTTGAGGTGCTCAATATGAGAAGTGGAGCGTATGTAAGGGTAAAAGTAGACACTGAAGTCGGCACCTGATGGCAACAGTCTGTTTCATTCTTAAACGCAATCGTCAGGTCATTTTGCGTTTAAGCATGAAACAGACTGCCACCTCTTTGTGTTGATATCAATGTTCACTTTTATATTTACGTACGTTTTATCCCTGACATTGAGCACTTTAAACCATAAATAAAGCATGCCTTAAAACTATACTTTGTCATATATATATATATATATATATATATATACACACACACACGAAGGGTGCCGAAATGAACTCGACCCGACCCAACAGATTTTTAATAATTAACTTATGTTCTATATGGGCTCTGTAGCGTTGAAATCTCGCAAACGACG